ATGCCCGCAGTCCAAGCGAGTTCGCAGAGGACCACCTACCGGGTGCAATCAACATTCCAGTCCTCTCGGATGAGCAGCGTGCCGAGGTTGGCAAGCTGTACTGTTCAGGTAGATTTGCGTATTTCAGTCCGGATACCCCTTTTGTCCGCACTAGCACTTTTTTAATGCTTTTTTCCGTATGTGCATGTTCATTATGGCCTTTTTGAAAATATTTACGCTGTTTACGAAGCGTTTTATACTTTTTTTACAGTGTTCCAATCTCATCTTTATTCCTATACTAAAAATGTATTTGAGTAAAAGCGAGATTCGAATCCTTAGTAGCTTTTGCTGGAAACCAGGAATTTCGACTAGGGAGGCTGCAGAAGAGATCTGTACTGCTAAAGGCGAAGGCTCCGTCCATGGCAATTGCCTCTCGTTGGTACAAGCGTTTCAGCTCTGGCGACATTAATTTAGAGGACCAGCCTTGTCCCGGTTGACGTGCAGAGCCTGAGCAGAGTTGGTACTCAGAGCATTACAATCATCAGGTCGAATCCTGGGTTATTGGAAAAAAGCAGAAGGCACCAGAATGAGGGCTTTATTGTTTGCAGAATCGTTAGTTGGTCCCCCAGGCATCAGAGGCCAATGGCGAAGCCAAGCCTAGTCTTGACTGCGTACAGTCATGCCCGAGAAAGAGTGAAACAGTGATGGCAGCTGCCTTCATATGATTGTGGAGCAAGCTCAACTATTGTCCAATCGGCATTGTCCGAAGGGGTGTCGAGTATAGAGATCCCTGCTGCGTCGGCCGAGGCGTGGCGTGTTCAAGTTGCCTTTAGGCAGATAAGGGTTTATTTAATAATTTTGCCTGAGACTATTACCTGTTACGGCTGCTGTTAGGGTCCGAGAAATGAGACCTAAGGCAGAGCGAGACAGGTAAGGTCCGTTAGCGGTCAGTGAGCGTTCATCAACAAGCTTCGGCTCTATTTTTGAATTTTTTAACCTCTAGCTAGAAACTATGGGAGTTTTGTAGTTGCTTCTCAGACTGTTGGAATTGTCAACGACAAGACCTACATGAACTTTCAGAGCGTCCCTGTACTACAGTTTTGTGTCATTTTGCTCGATAATGTTTAACGAGTCTTCTTGCTCTTCTTTTTCTTCCAGGAGATGTCCTGAGAGCTCGTCTACGAGGTGCCAGCTACGTCTGTGCCAACATTTCCCGGTCCCTTTCGGAAAACGATCCATCGAAACCCTCCTCCCTGACCTCCCTTTTCGGCAATACTGCTTCTTCTGACAGCAGCAAGGTTACGCCGCCTTTTCTTCTGGTCTACTGTTGGCGCGGTGGTCAGAGATCCCTGTCTCTGGCTACTATCCTCTCAGAAATTGGCTGGCCTGGTGGTGTTGGGGTTTTAGTCGGTGGATACAAGTCCTGGCGACGCCTCATTCTCCGACAACTGGAGACCTGGCCACTTCACGACCTTCGGTCGCCTCTCTGGGTCATTTCCGGTCTGACCGGTGAGCTACTTTATTACTTTTTGACATTAATCTATCATGATTCAGTGGTATTTTGCATCTTTGATGAAATGGCAAGTTCGTCCTCTTCGTCAAAATGACAGAGTCAATGCGAATGCTGATCATTTCCTCGTTCTCTGATCGGCTTGCAC